GAGAATCACAACAGAAACACATCTTTTAAAACTAAAACACTAAAATAAAAAAACTGTGTCGGCTAAAGATGTGTATGTTTATTTACACAGCATAGGCAGGCATATCAGGTCAGGTCTGTTTAAGCATTGTATACAGTTAAAACTAACAATGAGTCAGCTTCTTGAAGAACAGTCCCATTTAACAGGATTTTAATTAAATGCAAAGGAGGAGGGGTCAACACTATTCCAGGGGGCTGCAAACGTTACAAGCTTAAGGGCAGATTTTGGGAGGCCTCAATTCCAGGTAAATAAGCTCATTGAGAGCTTTAAAAATGATATGACCTTTGACCTTTTAAAAAGAGGCCAGTTATATTTGTCATGATTATATACACGGAAAAAAATATATATATATTGGGTGTTGGTCGGAATATATGTGGAAAAATATATGGCTTAAATGGCTCCAAACCTAAGGACAAGGATATATATATATAGATATATATAGATATCTATATATATATATATATAGATATATATAGATATCTATATATATATATATATAGATATATATATATATATATATACATATAAAAAATCATTAATTGGTTCATTTTTTGTCAACATTGAAGGTTGAAGAGCCACAGGTTGCCGACCCCTGACCTAGAAAGTAAGATTCAGCTTTAAAAAGGCTTTTTCTAATTCCTCATGGTTTGGTGTCTGTTGAACCCCCTTACCTGCTTCTTAGACTTATTTATGTCCAAGTGGCAACATTTGTCAAGATCAGCCAGGATTTATGAACCATCTCTGTGTGTGACAGAATATATGCTGCCTTGTCAGCATTGTTTTAGTCACAGTACACAGCTGTCATTTACTGTAACACGAAAAGAGATGAGAGAGGAAGAGGAGGATGTCAGTCAGCAGAAGGACTCCTTCCTTACCTGTTGCTGCTCAACACAATGCTGTTCTTGCAGGATTTAGACATAATGCAGCTTGTGGCAGTCAAACATCTGTAACTATTTACTCAATGAAGCTACAACCAAAAAGATGTGCAAATATATCTTTTTTTATTATTATTAAAGAATATCTTAAATTGAGAGTAGAAACCCCCTTTGGCAAGTTAGAGGTTGATCAAGAATGCAGGCTTTTAAAATGCATTGCAGATAAAATGTATTCCAGTGAGAAGCAGGGCCTTGAAATTCTTGCCAGCGTAGAGTCCTGATGTTGTCCAGAATTTCCATGCAGCAGCTCCAAAACCCCAAGCAGGAGCTGGCTGTGTTTGTTTGTGTTTCTGCTTCCATCTGGGCTTCCCGTAGCTGTGTGGTGTCAAACCTGCCCACCTTCCTCCCATCAGACCCGAGGAATACAAGCCCTGCTGCCACAGAGAGCAGGCACCCCAGCGGCTGAGCTTTCCTCTCGGACTGACTGAAGCGTTTTCCCACATTGTTGGAATCCAGCCTGTTTGCTGGTGTGGCTTCAGTTCCTCTGTTATTTCCTTCTCTTTTTTTTCTGACAGCTTATTTATGTGGTGTGCAAACCCAGCATATGTGTCATGCGGTGTGAACCCCAAACCTCCATTTTTCCTAATACAGATGCATCCCTCTAAATAAGAATATCTGCAAAAATTACATTTTTTTAATGAAGTTTGAAAATGTGAACCATAATTTAAACAAAAAAGTAACACACTTCAAGTTAATTATTCCATTTATTTCCATGATGGTGGCTAAAGCTAATTGAAATGCAAGATTACGTTCTTCAGGAAAACTGAATATTACATAAGAGCATTAAAAAGGAATTATAGTACAGAAATGTCCACTTGCTGTGGTGCATGTCCATGCACAGTGGTTTTTATGCATTCTTGATTTTTGAATTAAAAAGTCAAATGTGTTGTGGCATGCAGGAGTTAAAAAATAGCCTAGCTTCAGCAGGCCTGCAGGTTTATCCTCACTGACTGTGGTAACTAACTACATGTTGGGCGTTTAGCATTTGGGTTTCCTCTTTATTTCCCTCCATACTCTTAAACCTTTTCACATGAAAAGCCAATTTAATTTCACCTCAAAAAACAACTTTAAACCTCTTAACAATAGTTCTGTTCTTCTCCTAAACCCTGGAGGCACAGGTTTGGTTTAGCAGTAGCTAAGCAGGAGGGATGTGACAGCTGTCGCCAGTGTCCTGTCCATGTCTGTGTGTGGTGGCTCTTGAAGGTGATGCAGCTGCAGTCCAGGCTTTCTCAATCGATGTACAACTCTTGAAATGCTTTGCCCTTTTTTCTTTTACTCAATTTTCCATTAATAAGCTTGCACACCACAGTCTGTCAACACCCGGCGTCTTTATCAGAGACCTTTTATTGGTTTCCTTCTCTGTGAAGGGTGCTAATGACAGACTGCAGGACAGTAAAGTTGTTCCCATGATTGTATTGCCTACTATAATCCCTTAACATTTTAGTTTAAAAAATCCGCTTTTCTTGTTGGACTGATGTGACACTCAGGTTTTCTAAGGATCAAATGTTTGGTTTAGCTAGAAACTGATCTAGTTTATTGAGCTGCGCCTGTCCATTCACTCTACATCACATATCATGCTGAAAACGAAGCGGTTTTTAATCTTTATTACAAAAACAATTATTTTGGCGATTGCATGACTCACATTTCAAACAGCTTTAAGCAAAGGTGACGTTAAAAAAGAAAAGTGTAAGTGATGGAAGAATCTCAGGTGTAAGAACCAAAAATATTCAGGGAGGCTTTGAGACTTCACTGGAGATATTCTGCTTTCACAAATAACCACAGTTATGAGAAACCAAGAATGCATTTTTCACCCTTTACAGTATGAGCCGAATGTCAAGAACAAATAAGCTGGAAGCAATGGCGCTTATCTGCTGTCTGCTCATGAGGTATATAATTCATGTGCTTCATTTTTGCAGCAAACAATAAATCATACAGCAGATCAAAGGAAATTATACACAACCTCGAGGAAAATGTTAACAAGATGATGAGGTGCATGCAGAAATGAGGATCTCTTCTTTATCCGCTTTGTCTCTCTCTCTTTCTCTCTTTTTTTTATACTTCCTTCCCTCGGCACAGCCAGATGGCAAAGCTCCAGCTCTGCAGTCCTCTTCATACACTCATCATATTTGATGGGCATCCTGCTGCCGAGTCTCAAGGAGGCCATGTGTTTCACGAAATGACACTTGTGACAAAAGAAAACTTCTATTTAGCAAACTGAATCTTGGATGGGTTGCAGGGGGAGGGCAGCAGCATGTGTCTGTGAGTGTGTGCAGAAAAAGGTACTTTGGGAATATATATTTGGAGTTTATAATAGGAAAAGCTTGTGCTTGTGTGTAAATGTGAATGTGTGTTTATACCAATAACATCCATATTGTCTTATTATTCCATGTTAGGTGTCCTTCTTTCTGGGAGTTATTTTCTTTTAAACTATATTACATGAAAAATTTTACATTTTCAACTCCAAAACAAAAAATCTTTTACTTTTACACACGGATAGCATAAATATCATACACCGTTGGTCTCCTCTGCTGATGCAGTCAAACATTTTGCTCTTTAAAAGACAAAAAAAAAAGAAAAGATCTGTTGTACATTTGTATTTGACACAATCTTTTTATGTTGGTTGTTTTATTTGTTCTCGATTTGCTATCATCTGATCCTAAAATTCTCTTTGTCTTCAATGGTGAGGAATTCCCATCAAAGTTTTCCCCTTCTCTTAATACTTTAGGGAATTTTCAAACGTCGGGATGTATGGCTGTAATGCCCCAAGATTTGTTCTCCCTGAAAGAAACGATAGAGTAAGAATATATTAACTACAGAGCAACCTGGCTTAACGCGGTCTGCATTTTACTCTCAATTCACTTTTTTAGATTTACCAATACGTTATGCATGAGTATATACGACGTATGCATATCGATATAGAAATCAATATGTGCTTTGCAGCATTCCTTTTATTTAAAATTTAAAGCCATGTTCATGCATTAAAAAGCAATTTCAATGTTTCTGACTGCAGGGTTTAGATGCAAATCCATGGGGCATTACGTTAAAAAACCATAAACATCATAAATTAGGAAATAGAAATTAAAAATGGAAGCAAAAATGAAGACGTTTAGCTTGTTGTTGATTACTAAATGCTCTCTCTCACGCTCTCTCTTGCACTTTCTGATGTGATAAACTTGCATTCAGGAAGGAACACAAAAAAAAAAACATGGCAAGTGTAAATGAAAAATAAATCCCGTTTAAAGCAAAGTATTTTTATTCACACAAATTTAATAAGATATATAACAACCGTTTGGTCCATAAATATTTAAGGGGAAATAGTTTCTATACACCATCTTTATCATGAAACAGGGAAACATGGACAATCTTGATAGAACACTTACTGTACTCAACTATTAACACGAAGATCAATATATAAGGTTCTTGGATTACCCAACTATATCTGAAAGAGTGCACAAATGCTTTCTATGACATCGCTGCCCCGCCCTCCCATCCACTTTTTTTTTTCTTTTAAAACAGGATACACCATAAAAAGATCTTCGGAAATAAGATGCAAAACAGTACAAAACTAGTGAGGCGCCAAAAAGATGTGAGTCGGTTAACAAAGAACACATAGATCCTGAATTTCACAAACTCTCTCCCAAGTTATATCATTAAGGCACATAGTAGAACTGAGTTAGGCGTCTACTTAATGAAGTAGACCTGGAGCGCCGCTTTGCTCTGCAGGACAGCAAACTGGGGCGCTCACAATGGAAATTTGAAGGTTTGCTCGCTCCATCTATCAGCCAGAAGAAATAGTTTGCTTTTTCAATTGTTTTATTTTTGATTATCATTTTTTTGGTCTGTTTAGTGGCAAGTATCAGTAAAGAAAGTGTAAATATGGCCAAACAGGAGAACACATGGACAATGATTTCCCACTGGCTGCTTTGTGCGACTCCACCCATCTGAGGTCAGATGTTTTGACTGGTTCTGTCAGCTCCTAAAATCTAGTCTGCAGCTTCGCAACCACTTAATTTCTCAGCCCCACGACTTTTTTTTCCTTTTTTTTTTTTTTTTACATTTAAAATCACGTCATTACCCTGAGCAACATGATAAGGACAATAATGCACTTTTCTCTGGGCAGTATTTTGTCACTGTGCAACTGAGTTTAGCTGTGGGTTTGTGGATATGTTTGCCAGGCTTTTTTTTCTATTAGGTAAGGAGAACCACAAGTTCCAAAAGCAAAAAGTGCTCTGTCATGAAGACGAGTGATTAGAACTGATTGGAATTTCTTATGTTGCGCTTTTTAATCGACAGTTTCTACCAATGGATGCGTTGAACAGTTACCACTGCGCAGAGTGTGGGATTTGCTTCTGGATTCATGAGGAAAAAAACGCCTTGGTGTCGTTTCAGCTTCTCTGTCGGCCATCTAGGTGCTTTACAGTGTAAATTTAGATGCGTTTACATGTAGCTTCTGTCAGGTTGCAGACGTCTGATTCCATCAAAGTCAGCCTTCCAGACTGAAAACATTCGGTATTAATTAAAGCCTGTTTTCCGGAGTTAACCATATACAGAACATTCGACAGGTTTTCCAAATTATTCCAACGCAGTACCAATAAAAAGAAAAAGAAAAAGGTAAAAAATCTGGATAGTGCGAACACAGTGCATACATATACATACTTCTGGCACTACTTTTTTTATTTTACCAATTAAACATAAATTAGGGAGGGCTTGTTTCAAACATATTTAACCACAAATACATGAATTAAGTCTAATCAGGCAAAGTCTAAATTTCCAGCCAAGTTTCAAGTTTTCTTTCCTTCTAAATAAAAAAATCTGCAATCCAAGACAATTTTCCAATGTCTTTAAAACTCCAAATTAGTCCAAGAATCCAGAAGTCAATCTTTGCAGCTTGGAATGCTACACATTAGAGTAATTTCCTAAGTGGTCGCTGCTCTTGTTGCCGTTGTAGTTCCTGTTTGTGTGCACAGTACAGCATTGTCTCTTCCCAGGAGCTGTCTCTGCTTCATTTTAAAGGTGTCATTTACAAAAATAATGTAACTTGGAGAAAAAAAAACTTCCCAAAAAAGAGCAAAAGCAAAAAAATAACAAAACAAACAAAAAAACTCAGTTCAAATAACAATCAGTCTGATAGAGATAGCTTGTTAGAAAAGGTTTGTCAAGGTAGTTTGCGAAGGGCTCCCCGAATCATGGCTGTCCAAACTAGAGGTGACGGAGGTCACTACAGTGATAGAGGGGTTTGTCAGGTCTGTAAGTGTGGCCGCGCTGGAGGGGGGGGTGAGGGCCCCACTGTCGGATGAGGGCGGAGGGAGTGAGGTGCCATCAGCCTTATCAACACCTCCATTCTCCTGTCGCAAAACGTTCCTTCTGAATTTGGCTCTTGCGTTTTGGAACCAAACCTGCAAACCAATTCCAGTGTGGCTTTTACTTTTTGTGCTTAAGTATAATGTTTCTTTTTTTTTTTTAAAGAAAGTACCAAATAATTACATTTCAAATTATGACAGCTTTTACTGCAGTTTCCCTCCTCTTTCATACATTATTTTAAACTGTTATGTGATTTTAATAGCAAATCAAAGCAAAATCCTATCCCTGGATATTTTTAAAGCGAGAGCTGTAGCTATGAAGACAATATTACTTTCATTATTGGCAATAGAACAGTTTTTAGCTTTAGTTGCACACTTTATAATTGCTTTCCAATTCAAAAAATTGCTTTTAACAGTTAACAAATTTTAAGTAAAGGCCCCTGGATATACATCTAATGACTTCATGGACTGACAAAAAAAAAGCAAAACTAAAAAAGATGAAACTGAGGATGTGAATCAAAAGAAGATGGAGGAGAGGAGGGATGCAAACAATCAGTGTGATTGATGAAAACTTTAGAAAAGAAGAACGGCTGCTAGCTTACCTGCAGAACTCTCTTAGTGAGGCCTGTTTTCTGGGCCAGCTGCTTTAAGTCCTTGGCGTCCGGATTGTGGTTGATGGCAAAGTAGGATTTCATTGTCCGAAGCTGATGGTGCTTAAAGGAGGTCCGCATGCGTTTGGTTTTCTGTGTTGGAGCGTAGGCCTGTTGGTCCCGGTCCAAATGGTCGGTGTCATTCTCGTTGCAGCCTGCACAGGAAGCAGGTGTGAGAAAGGGAAAATGCTGAGTCACAAAAAGCTGATGTTGTAGACTGGAATTTTGCAGACTGAAAGTTCAAATAAATATTCAATTCCTGTCAAAAACAGTCAAAGACATATTTTTAATGCAACTAAATATTTGTGTTTTAAAGTATGCAAAAGGTAACTGGGTGAATCCAAAGTTTCCACCATATTTCACTACTAAAAATACATTAAAAGATTAAAAATAGAGTCAATTTACCAGCTCAGTAACTTTATTTGCCAACAGCTGATGCAAAATATTTTAAGACTGATGGATAGGGAAACATAAAACTATTTAAATCTAAATCACAATGAAAGCAAATGTTTTTAAGTATTAAAGTAAAAAGCTTAATTAAATTTGTTTTCTCTGCAGAACTGATTGATTAAATATCTCAGGATAATACTGTATAAAAAGTTTATTTTTAATTACACTTAAAACTGGATAAAAAATATGCAAAAGGAATGAATATATAAAATTAACTAAAAATCAGCAAAACAACAACAGATGATAAATTCTTACAGTAAAAGTGACACCAGGCTAAATGCTTTCTGCTTGTGTTTGCAGGGACTAACAGGCCTAATGGGGCTCATTTGTCAGATAAAATCCCTGAAATGGATTCATTAAACGGTGCCCATGCTTGGCTAAACGCTCCACAGATGCTTCAGCATTTATCAGCAGGACAGGAAGAATCATCCTGGACCATTTCATAAACTTACTAAAGGGTTTCATTAACTTTCTGACCTGGCAAACTAATTTTACCTCGAAAAAAATAGAAGACTGTCTTGTATTTTTTTTTTTAGAAATGGACTCATATTTGTATCTGGGATGGAATGCATTTGATGTACCTCTGCGGAAAAAGGAGTGAAGATCAAATGTATCAATGTGTTCAGGATTTTAAATCTGATAAACCTGAGTAAGATTTTGCATAATGCTATGACATCAGTTTTTTGTTTTTTTAAACTACCCTTTCACGATGGATTTATGCAGAAAAATGTCATTTTTATCTAAATGCTTCATGAAAGCATCACTGAATGTTTCTCTGCTGCAGCTCTCACTGGACGGTGTTTCTCTAAGCATCACCCACTAGGGGTCTCCATATGCATATGTGTTCACTGAGCAGTGTGAAATACACAGAGGACCCACACCTTTCCCCTGGTGAAAACATGCATGGATGTTCTTACTGAAGCACAAACAAAAACCTCAAAAGAAACCTCTTCCAATTTGTCAGGAATGGGAGTATTTGAATTTGACATGTTGGATTATTAACAGGAGCAGTGTGAGACAGTAATGGGGCATGCACACCCAGTCTGCTCAAAATGGAAAAAAAAGAAAGGGGGAGGAGGGGTGTAAACATTTCTATTGTTGCAAAAAGTTTTACCCAAAATATATATTAGGTCAATTTAATTAATAAAATAATTGAACCATCTTAGCAGAGCAGGAACCTTTTTTTTTTTTTAACTAAACCAGTTTAATCAATTATAGCTATTCAATGTGTCCCAAAAGAAATTAAATATTCCCAATGGGATCTTTTTAGTGTCTGTGCTGCCTAATAATGGCATAATAATGACATCAACTCAAATGCATTGTTACAGATTAGAACTGAGGGGCTTAATGTTATCTATATTTGTTACTTTTTCTCCTATAAAATACAATCTTATCTTATATATATATATATATATATATATATATATATATATATATATATA